TTAATTTTTAATATTTTCAAAATTTTTAAAAATTTTTTTTGCGTATCACTAATAATAATATAAATCAAGTTTAATCCGTTTCTTACAACCCATACCCGGTGCACTTCCTATATTAAAAGGAAGAACAGCAACATACGTAATACCGGAATTTTGCAAAGAGTATTCGATTAAAGCTTCAGTGTTTAGGTCTGCGCTTTTATTACCATCCATATTTACAAGGTTGGATTCACAACTTTTGGCATTAGAATTAAAACATAGATTGGATCTACCTATTGATGACGAATTTATGCTATCGGCATTAACTACACCATCCGCAAATATGGAAATGAATTATGAACGCCTTGAGACCCTTGGTGATTCGTTTTTAAAATTTTGCGTGACCGTTAGATTATATGTTTCATTTCCTGAAAAACATGAAGGTCAACTTCATAATCAACGTATTAGGATAATTTGCAATAAGACACTTTATAGAAGTGCAAAAAGATTACGTCTATATGAACATATAAATTCCTTGCCTTTTAATCGTAGAGCATGGAGACCTGCAAATATGATGACTATTACTGATGACCCAGAAAATTCAAAAAAAAATAGAGTTCATGATTTAGCTGATAAAACACTTGCTGACGTGGTAGAAGCTCTTTTAGGAGCAGCATATTTAACCGGGGAGGAACAAGCAGGACTTAAATGCGCTAGGGCATTGGAAGTTCCATTTGATGATATTACCGAATGGGAACAGTTTTCTCAGTGGAATAAAAACCTACCGCGTGTATCTATTAAAGATCATAAAAGCGTAGATATTAAGAGGATCGAGGAAATTTGTGGTTACACTTTTAATAATAAGAACTTAATTGCTGAAGCACTCACACATGCCAGTTTACCCAATTCTACAACCTCGTGTTATCAACGTCTTGAATTTCTAGGTGATGCTATATTAGATTTCTTGACAGTAAAGTATTTATATGAAAAATATCCAGATAGTCCACCAGGAATAATTACAGACCTAAAAGATGCGTCAGTTAATAATCAAATTCTCGGGGCTATTTGTGAAGTAGTTGGGCTCCAAAAACATATCATTCATTTTTCATCAAAATTACTAAGTGCAATTACAAATTTTTCATCTATAATCGAAGATATGAGAGAAAAAAACGAAGATTATGGTGAATATTGGAGCGACTTGGAAGTTCCCAAGGTTATGAGTGATGTAATAGAAAGCATGCTAGGTGCTATATTTGTAGACTCGATGTTTGACCCTAAGGCTCCTCAAAGACTTTTTGATTTATGGATTGAGCCGGTTTTAAGTAAACACGTTACTCCTGATACATTGAAAGTACATCCAGTAAAAAAACTTACAGAAATAATACAAAAGCATGGATGTGCTCAATTTTTGTTAAGGTAAACTTTTAACTTTTAATATGTTTGTATATATGTATATTTATTTAAAAAAAATAGCAATAATTAATTTTTCTTTTTTTTCAAAATAGAAATATTACGACAGAAAATACAGATATGGAAAGTCAACAGTGCACAATATTTGTTCAT